TGTGTGTGTGTGTGTGTGTGGGAGTGGCGAGTACAGTGCGTGTGTGCAGGCGGTGTCGGTGCGACTGGGCCCCGCGGAGCGCGCGGCGGGCGGCATGGTGCCGCGGCTGTGTGTGTGTGTGTGTGTGGGAGTGGCGAGTACAGTGCGTGTGTGCAGGCGGTGTCGGTGCGACTGGGCCCCGCGGAGCGCGCGGCGGGCGGCATGGTGCCGCGGCTGCGCGAGCTGTTGCTGGGTGCGCGCGTGCTGTGCCGCGCTCTGCCGGCTGCGGGGGGCGCGGGGGGCGCGCCCGCTATTCCTCACGTCGAGCTATTCGTGCGCACAGGCCCACAGAACATCTTGGCATCTGTCAATAACGCCATCCTCATGGAATACGATTATCTGCAACAGTAAGTGGTTTTTCTTGGTTAGTGATTCTTCAAAGGTTCAATTAATTAATTTTGTGTAATTTCTAAGATAGACTACCTTCCTAGGAATTAATGTAGCCGACAAATTGGCTGTTTACACGTTATGACGCAACACAGTGGCCCCGCCGCTGCATTGTTTGGACGAACAGACAATTACAATATAAAATATTATACATACTTACATAAACTCTTCTCATACTTAAACACACTTTATTTTGGTGAAAATATTTTATAGGTATAAAATTTTACCTGTTACGCAAGTTCACCTCTGTCTAATCTTAGTAGTTATTATTGTTGTTGCAACTTGAGTCAGATAATTATGTTTTTTTTGGAATGTCCAGTGGTTTTGTGGCGACACACATGTCAACGGATGACGTCACAAAAAATCCTACATCGCACATGCAAAGTTTACATGCAAATTAACTATCTGAGTTATTCTATGTTTTTCTATCTAGAAAAACCCAACGAACAACTGTTGAGCAGAAAGCCCGCCAGGCACGATCACCTCGCCTGGTCGGAGGATCCTCCTTTTCCGATCTTAGGGAACTTTACCCTCTGTTCCCTAAAGTTTCAAAACTACGTCTTTGTATGTCAAAAGTGATTGCTTCCCTATATGTTTAACACAATGTTTATGCTTATGTAAACGTTTTTCAATGAATGTTTTTATTTTAGTTATATCTTATAACTTGCTTCTGCCCGCGACTTCATACGCGCAATCTCATTTTCTCCCGTTGCCGTATGATTTCCAGAATTTGGATTTATTTCTGTTATAAGAACCTTCTCCTAATAATAACAAATAAAAAAAAAGAATTAGTGAAATCGGTTCAGCCGTTGATGATGATGTCAGCGTGATGCCGCGACCAAGGGAAAACTGGATTCATTTTTAAATAGTGCTTTCATACATCCAAGATTATATAAAGCTGAAGAGTTTGTTTGAGCGCGCTAATCTCCGGAACTACTAATCTCTCTGGACCTCGGGGCTAATTTTGTAGGAAATTAGTTGCATTTTCAGATCACCTCCCGAGAGGAATACGTCGAGTTTAAGTACAAGGCACCCTGTATAATGTTAGATTTATTAAAAAATTACAGTCAATTTAATTTGTAGCGTTTTGTTAGAATTGAACATCCCATATTACTGAAACACTATTCTAGCCAATGTAACAAAATAAATCCATACTAATAGATACAGCTGAAGAGCTTATTGATTGTTTAGAGGCGCTAATCACCGGCTAAAATGGCTCCGTGAACCACTTGGGATGATCGCAGGGACCACTAGTTATCCTCGGACTGACCACAGGTTAATTAAGAACTACCGGTCTAATCGAAATAAATGATTTGACTACTTTAACTTTGAAGTCATTTTGGGCCTGCAATGTCAGGATACCAGAATAGGATAATTTGTATGAACTACCTGTTACATAATGTTCTTATCGAGTAATCATTATGAAGATAGTTAAACTGTGTTTAGTTTTTCATCTGAAGAACTTTGTTATATGTTATTTTTGTTTTAGTGGTAAGTTAAAAGAAAATGACAATAATACGACCAACCACGTGGAGGCACTACATAGGAAGAAAGAACGCATTTTCCGGAGTTTGTCGATGGCCGGCGAAGAACGCCCTTCGTCTGGCTCCGCCCTACCACCGCCGCCGCTGCCAGCGCCTGGCCAGTGCTTTGACGTGTATATTGCGATGGCTGCTAATCCCTGGAACTTTGTTGTAAGTTTGTCGTAGAACTATTCACAATCACACCGCCATAATCAAAGGCATACCTTTTATAACTATTGACATTAGACTATGTAATGAATCTATCTTTATTATCTTACCAGCATATTCTAACTCGTAGAGTGAATTTATACAGGGTGTCCGATAATTAATGGTTAACCTTGAAATGTCTCATAGTACTACTTATGGCTGTACTTAACCGGACTAATTATTGTCGTTAGGCATTCGGATAATCGAAAATCCGGATAATCAAATTTACCAAGAAAAGCGAGTTTTGTGAATACATATGTTGTACATACGTTATGTATGTTATTTATTAAAAACAACAAAATATACAGTACAAGTATAGTTTACGGTATCTTGATCATTTTCCGATGTTTAGTCCCGTTTTCACTATCTAATTTGCAGGTGTACAACAAAATTGAATCAGTATTCTTCTTAATATCACTAATCGTGGATGTACCTACACCATACTGATCAGCTAACTTACGACCAGTTTCTCCTTTTTTTAATGAATCAATAATATTTATTTTGTGTTTAAGCGATAACACCACTCTCTTACGTTTTGACATGTTTAAATATGTAGTCGTGACACAAGTCAGATCGGAGGAACAACAGCGATTGCGTAGGGCGCGTGTGGGGTAGTGGCAGTTCCGACAAGTTCATGCTTGCATAAATTTGACTTGTAATCTTGTATTAATATATCTAATGAGTCGGTAGTCCGGATAATTAAGTTTCTACCTACTATTTACTATTCTGATCACTATGATTAAAAATATGAATGAAATGTTTTTATATTGTAACTGTCGTGAGACATACTAAATAAATTATTATGTTTTCGGCTTACTCACGTACCTAATAATTTGACGAGGAACTCTACTAGTTTAGCTAGTTTTCGAGTAGCAACGCGACAGTCGCCGCGTCGCGGGTTGCGAAATGCTGCTCATGAATATGAGCCTCTAGCATGGCTTGAAACTAGTCGAGTTCCTCGTCAAATTATTACGTGAGTAAGCCGAAAACATAATAATTTATGAATTGTTTTTAATTGCTTTTTTGTTTTTTTATTATTATACACAACTGATAGATAGAAAGTAAATAGTATGACTAGTCAATGCAGTTCTTTGAAAAAAATGTACGCAAACTAATTTACTTTCGAAGTAATTACTTTTTAAGAACATGCTGAAAATATTTTTTTAGCAAAGTTCAAATATCTTGGGTATTAAAAAAAATATGGATACACGGGTACAAAGGTATAAAATTTTACAATAATTTCTGTTTCAAGTACATTTTGTAATGGTACAATTTATAACTTTGTGTCTCTATCATAAAAAGTGTCAAAATTTGAAAAATGAAAATAATTTTATTTTTTTAAATAACATAATATGTAACATGGGAACATTTTTTAAATTAAATTGTATCTCAACTATGAGAAATAATAAAAGCAACATTTAATATTGAAAATAATTTATTTTACATAAATTTACAATAAATGTTAAAATTGCTTTCCTCCCACTCCTATGCGTGTCCTGCATCTTCGGATTAATGCTCTTCTGAGTAGTCTTGTGTACCGTTGCTCGCTTATTTACGATGCGGTAGCTCTGACACGATTACGTAATTCGTCCAAGGGTCGGATATAGCCTTACGGTACAGGTGTACCGTAGGAGGTCCTCTTTGAGGCATCCCCAGTAAAAAATCCAATAGTTTTAAATCCGGTGAACGTTGAGGCCACAAAATTGGCCCTAGACGTCGTGATGCGTGATGATCATCTGATGCGATAAATAATAAACTAAACACCGATAAATTTTGTTTTGTATTCTTTCAAGACGACCATAAGTTGTACTATAAGACATTTAAGGTTATCCATTAATTACCGGACACCCTGTATATTATGTGTATTAAAAGAATTGAATTAAAGAAGTTCTCGAGCAAAATTTAACAGTTTTAACATAACTTGTTTTTAACAGGTGCAACCAAATAGTACTAGACACACTTTGCAAACGATGATGTCATCTTTGCAAACAGAATGTCCAAAACTGACTGAATTAGATGCTCCTGTAAATCCAGTTAGTGGAGAACTGTATACAGTATATTACGACAAAGATGCATCATGGTACAGGTATGTACAAATTCTGTCTGTAGCGCCGTGCTTTAGGCTTAGGCAATAAGGTAGATGACTAATTTTTATTTTAATAACCGTCTAGTAGATCATTTGAAAACATTGGACATGTATTTTTATTTTCTTACGGAAGAAAATACTTTCGACGATATTATGATCACTGCTCTCTTGGCATCCGTACCAGAGTGTGATTTGTTCGCAGCGAGATGGAAGGATCAATGTCGTGTATGCGTAAGATTTTCTGAGCAGATGGATGGCTGATGAATTAGTTTTAAGTAATTATAATTATTGACTGCCTCGTTGGCCGAGTGGTCGCAAGTGCGACTGCCGGGCAAGGGT